TTATTTGAGACAGAGTTCGCTTGTTGCCCAGGCTAGAGTGAGTGCCGTGGCGTCAGCCTAGCTCACAGCAACCTCAAACTCTTGGGCTCGAGCAATCCTACTGCCTCAGCCTCCCAAGTAGCTGGGACTACAGGCATGCGCCACCATGCCTGGCTAATTTTTTCTATATATATTAGTTGGCCAATTAATTTCTTCCTATTTATAGTAGAGACGGGGTCTTGCTCAAGCTGCTTTCGAACTCCTGACCTTGAGCAATCCGCCCGCCTTGGCCTCCCAAAGTGCTAGGATTACAGGCGTGAGCCACCGCACCCGGCCTCTACAAAATATTTAAAACATTAACCAGGTGTGGTGGCACATGCTGAATGAATGAATGAATGAATGTGTAAGGGAGACTTAGTAGAAATGCAATAATTGAATTTAGGAATTATGGTTAATTTTTTTAAGCATGACAATAAAAAAATGTTTTAAGCATGACAATAAAAACACACTTGTTAGACATGCTTGGGTATTGAGTGATCTGCCTCAGGAATACCAGTGTGCAGTGGGTAGGAGTAAGAATGGGGGAAAACATGAAGACAGGAAAATGTAACAGATGTTGAATGGGTTCATTACACTATTTTACTTGTGTGTGGGTGAAAATACAAGGTTTAAGGCTGGGTGTGATGGGTCACACCTGCAATCTCGTCACACCTGTAATCTCTGCACTTTGGGAGGCCCAGGTGGGAGGATCACTTTGAAGCTAGTAGTTTGAGACCAGCCTGAGCAACATAGCAAGACCCCATCTCCACAAAAATAAAAATAAATTAGCCAGGTGTCGTGGCGCACACCTGTAGTCCCAGCTACTCAGGAGGCTGAGGCAGGAGGATCACTTGAGCCCGGGAGTTTGAGGCACTGCACTCTAACCTAGGTGACAGAATGAGATCCTCTCTCTAAAAAAAAAGAAAAACAAAAAGAGTAAAACATCTATTCCAGCATTCTGGTGACAAAATTAGTTATTTTGGATGTTGTAACAAGGTTGTGGATTACACAGCTATTGAGTCTTGAGAAAACTGGTTCCTGCTTTATATTTTTGAGAAATTAAAATGTTTTTCTTTTTATTTCCATAGGATTTTGGGATGTAGAAGAGATTGTTCATCACTTTTACCTGGAACTAGAAGTCTGTTCTCTATGACAAACATTTGATTTAGAACCTTTTTTAATATAAAGAAAATAATACTTGCCCTAAGAGGAAATATTGCACAAATTTACAATTGTTATCATTGTTAAAGGATAACCACTTCTATAGCACACTCACTTATCGAAAAACTCCTCTGGTGAGGAAAGGTCAGGAATTCTTTGCTAGAAGTCCCACAATGCTGTGACTCACTCAGAATCACACAGCAAATGTCAGTAATGGAGGGGAGATTCACAGCTGAGTAACACTTATCCTCAGAGACCAACCACAGGGGCAGGCCCACTCTGCTTTCTCATATCTGAATTCCCTGATGTCCCAGAAGTCTTTGGCTTAATTCTAATTGGAATTTGCTCACATTTTCAGTTTGACAAATCAAAATAAGATCTGAATAGTACTCATGTTGTTCATTTGATACATCTCAAAAACAACTCTCTGTGAAGCAGCAACATTAGGGATCATTATCATATTTATGCAAAGGAATCTGAGTTTAGAAAAGTGAGGTGTCAGCCAGGGTTTAACAACAAAAAGCACCAGAACAGAAGAGCAAGGAGGCTTTGCACGGTAAGCATATTCTATTGGGCAATTTCAGACCTCAACTGGGAATCTATGTGCATAAATATATATATAGTAGTCAGTATCAATCAATAATCAACTCCCCTGCCCCCAAATATGTCCTTATAATTTAGTCTTTGGGCTGGTCTGTATCTCAGTGTAGCACCAAATTGTTCTCTCTTTAACCCATGGCCTGTCTTCATTTAGACTGCAAATTTAAAAACAGGCTACAATCAAACAATGCCACCATAAAAGATCCTTGGGGCAAGAAGGTTCAAAAATACAAAGGGAAAGCCAATACCAGGAATGCTATAAACATTTATTTATTTTTTTTAAGAAAGTAGCTTCAGAAAAAGAGGAAAATAATCTAGATCATTTATTTATATATATATATATTTTAATAAAAACCTTTACATAATCTTCATGCATAAAGACCCCGGGGTGGCCATCTTGCCTGTGACAGCTCTAGCATGAACTGTCTCAGGCCATTACCTGGGGCTCCCCCATAGCTGGCAGCAATGTAGCAAAGGCCCTCTGCCTGCACCTAAAGCCCAGCTGTTTGCCTGCCTAAGCGATGGTTTTACCTTCTGGGAGGGAGGAGAAAGGGTAGCAAATGCTTTGGGACTAATATGGGAAAAAGAGGGAGGGATACCCAACCTGCCATTTTTTTATCCAAACTCTTTAGGCAAATCCAGAGTCCCAAAAAGATGACTGAAAACCAGGGATGAAACCGAATTCTGGGAGCTTCCCAGAGACATGTGATATGTGACCAGGGGCTGCTGCACATGGTAGTAGGGAAGGTATGGTGTTCATGGAACATCCAAGGCAGGAACAAAACAAGCCTCGAAGATTGACCACTCCATGGCAGGCACTCACTTCTACCCTAAATGTGTTGGAAAGACCTTGTTGTTTCCTAACTCAGTCCAACCCTCTTTGACTCAAAAACTGAGTTAACTAACCAAGCTACTTAAAAGACAGATTTCTGTTCCTCCTTTGGATAGTTCATCTGCTAAGGAAGGACAGTCCTAGACCAACACATTTATCCCATAACCTGTCTCACTTCTCTATAGTATAAAAGGGCTGGTAGGAGTAGGGTAGCAGGTTGGCATGGAGGGTTCCCAAGATCCAGAATGGCTGGGAATGGAAAAGGATTCCCTGGTTTTCTGGGGATTCTGCCAAAGGGGCTTTATTGACCCTTTTTAAAAGAGGGGGAAAAAAAAACAATGGTATTGAGGATGGTAAAAGGAGACTTTTCTCCTTTTTTCGGGTTCTAGAAGCCCTTATGCTGTGTTAAGTAT